GTTGTTGTTGTTTCTGTTGGGATTTTTTAAGTCCATTTACCAATGACGCTTTCTCTCACATACGCATATTACCGAGGATGCCTGTATTTTGTAAACTTTCATTTGACCAAGAATTGGCCTGAGCGGTATCGGTTGCTCCTGTTGCTGCCGCGATTATATTATTACTATTATTTAGGGTATTATTACTGCCACTACTGTTTTGTTTGGCTGTTTGATTTGGCTGTAAATCAAAACGTGCATAGAATAGCAGATAAGGCGTTATTGTAATTTTCCGGGCAGGTGATAGGAGATCTTCAAATTCTCGTTGTGTCATGGCCTTGATTTTATCATCATCGCACATATACCAAATCGGTTCAGCGGTGCAAGCATTCGATCCATAACTTGCGTAAGAAGATTGCTTCGAACCCCGCCCGGTACTACTATAACCCGAAGTAGATGTTGACGAAGAATTTATTGCCTGCAGATGCCCATGATGATTGTTATGATATACAATAGGCGTTGTTGTTATGTAACCGCTACCATTTGGATAACCGGTTGAATCTTCACTAAAATCACTGAAACTGCTACTATTGCTCTGCTGCTGCTGCTGTTGTTGTTGTTGTTGCTGTTGTTGGGCACATAAACGCATAGCACAACAATTTATACTCTGGCAGGTGGTATTTATCATTGGAGTATTATGATTGATACCCGCGTTCATACTTAATTTACCAATACCATTGGTTATGGCTTTACTTGCCCCGGTCAAGCCATTTAAATGCTTAGCATTTTTACTCATATCACCACTGCTCGATGCCTTACTGCGACCAAATTTCATTTTCTTCATAAAACTAGTACCCGATGATGTAATACTAGACGACGCTGAAATATTTGTTGTTGTATTTGCCGTGGTCATTGTTAGACCGCCGGTAATAGGTGCCGTTATATTGTTACGTTCATGACTACATCGTCGCCGTCGCTGTTCCTTAGGACAATTAATATATTCATTGGCAAAATCGAGAGAGCACGTATAAGCGATATAATGACCAACGGACATTGTCGCCCCAACATGCGTTATAACACTGTACAAACGATAAATATGCAATTTATTGCCTTCGCTTAGTTCGCAACATTTCGAGCAAAAACATTGCAATGTAAAGGAAGTTGGAATGTAACTGTTAATTTTTTCCATACCACCGGAAAATCGACTTAACTGTATGACCAGTAAACGAGGTAAAACCTCATAGGATATCGAACGTATGGCCTCAGTATAGCCGGTACATTGTTCACAGCGATATTTATTCTCATTGCGAAAATATTCACGTGTTATGCATGAATTCTATATATATATATATATATTTATATATATATAAAAATATAAATATATATAATTATAAAAAGAGTGAATAGAAAACATTTTAATCGCTACTTACTTGTATAAACGAGCTCGATCGATTGGGATGTTCGTTGCTTTCATAGCCAGCCTGAGGCACAGGTACAGCAATATCAATCATAGTTTCCTTTTGTTCGGTTATTGTTTCACAGCTTAAACATTTCGTAGTTGAAACGGTAATACCTTCGAAATCTTCTGTGAAAAAATCTAAACCCAATTCGCGTATCTTCTCAAACAATCGTTGTTTATCTTTAAGCAGAGATGCAGCCGCGGGTGATAAAGCATTATCGGTCTCATCGCCTATACTTAAATGCGACATTGATTGTGTGGGTGTAAATGCTGTAGGCGCCGTTGATGACGAATTGAGATCATTGCTATTTAAATAGAAAGTTGTTTGCCCGACACCGCCACCGCCACCGCCACCGACACCGACAACGTTGCCCGATACCACACCTTCTTTTAATGGCGATTGTAAACGTGAACTTTTGGAATTTTTCAATTCTTCTTTTCGCTTAGATTTCCGCGAAAATAATGAAGGTTTTGCGCTCGTTAAAGAGCTAAGTGCTGATGAAGTGGAACCATTATTATTGTTATTGCTATTGCCTCCACTATTGCAATTGCTATTATATTTGGCATTCTGGCTGTCACGTTCCATAGCATCAATTTCTTCAGGGTTTGTAATAAAACTAGAGAAAAAGAAAAAATTCATTATTTTTCAAAAAAAAAAAAAAAAGAGAAAAACAAACCCATTCATTATCACATCCGGACACTCGGCTATAGCTTTGATTAGAGTTTGGCTTGTCTCTCGTATACTATTTAATACGCACATAAGAAACTCATGGGCATCCTGCTGTTGATTTCCTTCAAATATGGTGCTAACATCTTGAATTGCATGCAACAATGTGTCGGCATGATGCGGCTCCATCGAATCATTTAACTCATTACGATATAGACTCTGAAAGAGTTCATGCAATTTCTCGGCCAAAATTTGATGACTACTCTTTTGTATAACTTGAGAAAGAGCTGTTGTTGGCGTTGTTGTATTCGCTGCCGCCGTTGAATACTGTTCCATTGAAGCTAAGTCTTTACTACTAAAACTGCGTGCATTCTCCATATGAGCGGTTGTCATGCCACGACCTAACGATGCCGATTTTGCCCGAGCTCGGGCTATATTCTGTTGAACGGCATTTAAATCGGTCAAAAGATGATGCAAATTATGCAAAAATTGCGGAGCAAAGCGTAACGTGTAAACCACGGAATTTAAATAGCAGGTATTACCAATATTACATAATGTAGCCATACTGGGGGCATGATTAATAATACTCGTACCGCCGTTGCCCATCAATGATCCGGTTGCATTGTTCGTGATACCAGAATTGGTTAAATAAAATTGACTCGTCACCTCTTGACTATCGTTAACGTCGGCCATTATTACACTGCCCGATGTACCGCTACTAACAGCATTGTTACGCGAGCCGCTCAAATAACTATTACCGGTCATTCCGCTACTCCCACGACCATCATCGGCCGTTTGATATCTACGTTCATATATTGACATTATTCTGGGTATTTTCTTTCTGCTTGATGATGCTACGGCTACCGTTAAATTGTTATTTATAGTTCCAGGTAAATTTCCAGCTAACTCTGTTGATGGATTGTATAATGCTTGACGTCTTCGTTTGATGCTATTTATCGTTCTTTTATGTTTATTTAGATTCGCACATTCAGGAAAATATTCGATCTTATTGAGATCATCTGGTTCAATACACGATGCAGCAGCTGTGAACAAAAAAAGCAATACATTAAAATTAAGAGAGAAAGAAACACTGTGGAATGGGACTCAGTTCTAGCCTTACTTTGGTGTTAATTTACGAATAATTAATTATATCGAAAAATTATTAACGTTCATCTACGATATTACGTCGTTTGCGCTGCGTTGGACAAAAAGTAACGAGACTTTGTATCCGGGCTATGTTATCGATTTGTGTGCTTCTCTTGGTAGCTTGATATGGCTGTTGTGAGATCAGCTGAAATAATTTTCGATTCACGTGCCTTGTTGGCGTAGTAATTAGAAACGTTTTTATACACTACACCGCTTGTGATACAATGGTGTATTAATTTTATGCAGATTTACGTAATATCGAGAAAGACTTTACATAGGCCTACTTTTTATCATGCCGACTTCAACTTGCCTGCCCGTATGCTGATTACTCAAAATTCACTTAAATTTGCTAAAAACTAATATCTGATAAGTGAAAACAATACAGTGAGACACGGTCTGCCGTGAAATACCTTACACCGCCTCGTTCGATGCGGTCATTCCTACACAGATTTTTTAAAGTAAAGCCTTGTACTGGAAATTGCTGAAAAAGTGTCCTGATGTGAACCATTTTTAATAGCGCTCGCTATTGGACAAAAAAATTGTGCCGGTGTACGAAGTTTCATCAAAATATCTCGAGAATTATCACATAAGCTGAACATAGGCAGAAAAGACGCACGGATAAACTTAGATCGGTAGAGAAAATGATTCTGAAACGCTTGTTGTTGCATACGTTCACAACTTAATATACTACACGCTACCCACGCTTATACCACGAGTCGTGCAGAGTGTAAACATACACATCTACCGCAATTATTTTAGAAAACTACAGTCTCATTACATTTTGCCCAAAGCTATTTCTATAACTTTTCGAAACTAAAAAAATCTATTTATATATTGCGCATTTTCATTATGGTGGCCGGGGTTTGAAAAGGCTTATGTCATTTATATCTTCTTTTTTTTCATTTCTGCGCAAGATTTATTTTGAATTGGATAAATGAAGGATAAGTTTTAAAAAAAATTTCGAAATTTTATCTGTTTTACTATTTGTAATGCCGGTTATACCGATTTTACCTGATTTTCAATTTTTGAACTTAACCTGACAAGGCTACAGATGGAAGCTTAAGATTAAGTTTTACTTTTTAGGTACACCTGTAGTTTTTCTATGTTCGTCACAATTGGAAGAGAATGATGTGAGACCAGATCGACCTACAAACTGATTGCTATATTTGTGGACTGATCACGAACATCATATTATCGGACATTTAATAAATCTATTCTTCTGGAAGAAGGTGAGAAGATTTTGTAAGGTGATTAAATGTACAGTATTTACTTATTTCCAAAATGGTTTACGCCCTAGAGAATTATTATATTACCTTACTTTCTCCTAATGCCAGAACTATCGACGTCCGTCATTTTAGCCCTTTTTAATTGTCGACTTTCAAAAAATTCATTATATCGCAGGTAAGGTTCTAAAATTGTTTGGTAACTTGGAGAGATCTGAAAACATCTATAATCAATTCTTTTTCCACCTGCTATGCCCTTCGAGATATCGACATACATCTATTTCTATTAAAATAGATTATATTAATCCCATTTTTTGTTGGATTTACCACAACTGTAAAAATAAAGATAAGAAGCTGACAGTTGGTACAAGCACTTTCCCTGATCAATTAAGAATTCAATGTTAAAAATATGATTGCGAATACTGTCTGCATACACGCTCACCAGAAATGAGCAAGCGAGCCGACCTCGTCCGTTTATCTATAACTTTCGATCCTGTGAAAATATTTTGAAAAAATCTGGTAACTGCCGGCGTGTGGTTCCGCGATCAGTTTACCGATAAAATCTTAATTCCAATTTGTTTCAGAAATGTTTGTAAATAAATGCCCGAAAAAATACTAATGGACTTTAAAACTAAATTGAGAATGAGTTGGAATTAAACCTTTATCGTTAATGTTGGACATGTTGGTAAATCATTTGGAAGCATTTTTGGACTGAACGTGAAGGTGATTATCTTAGAAAACGATCTACATGTTGATCATCGGTTTTTGGAAATATCTTCACGGGGTAAAAATATAGAAAAATTGTCAGCTTTATGGGGAACAAAACAGTGTGAAACAAAACGATTGTTATGTTAACTTCCTTAAGTTAAAGAGAAAGATGGGGTAACATCTTCTTTGCTTACCTGGTTTTTTTAAATTTTGTTCTACGCGATTGTTATTACTATTGTTGTTATTATTTAGAGATTCTTTCGTCTCATTTGAACAGATTTGTGG